GAAACGTGAGATGATGTGACCGGGGAGCAATTTTTTCTTTAGGCAGGCAAATGTACAAGCCCTTTGAAAGGGTCAGGACTCGATCTTCAAGCATGTTGCCTTTGAGGGAGAGCTGTGTCTCCATTTTCCTCTCTTGCCTGCTGGTGTGCTCTGGAAGCCTGGTCAGACACAGCTGTTGCAAACCTGACAGCGAGGGCCCAGCTAAATCACCCAGCCAATGACCACAGCATGTTGTATGTGTAAGACCCAACCTGCTGGCTGTGCGAGCCAACAGCCCGGCTCCCTGGCCAGAAGCTGTGTCCCTGCCCTCCTACCTCTGTCACACTGAAGGGCACTTCCCGAGTGTCGTCTTCTTTAAATGCTGTCTTCCATATCCCTTTGAAGTAAATGGCATTCACAAGGACCAGCATGGTATTGAGATCAACAGAGCCTGAGGCAAGGAAATCTTGGATCTGTCCTTTAAGGAAGAAGCAGGGCAGAGAGTGGTAAGTTTCATAGCAGTAGTCTTGCATTTTAGAGGTCAATCGACATGCTGCTGCTTGACTTGACTTCCTCTTTTTCAAAGGTCTGCATGTGGAATTCAGGTTCATGAGGATGGTTTAATACAGAATGACTGGCACCTGGCCAAACATTTCTGCAAGAAGACAAGTAGGTTTCAAGAGTGGTATACATCCCCGGGAATATTTCTAACCAGTGCTTGGAAAAAGATTTATATAGAAAAGAAGGAACAGGAGAGGGAAGCAGCGATATAGATTTTCTGTTTCTCACTGTGCTTTTCTCACACTTCACTCTTGTTTTCCTCCCACAATAAATGTACACAAGCTCCTGAATCATTCCTGTCCTACCATCAGCCTAGCGCGTGCATGACCTTCTCGTGACCTGGAAGCCCACTTCTTACCCATCCAGCACATCCTTGTAAAATTATGCAAATATTCTAGAGAAGCTGGGACTAACCTTGCATGCGTTAAGCTCTCCAGACACAAAAAGTGTGCATATAAAGCGTGCATATCCTGGCACCTCTGCCTTTGCCAAATATGTTTAAAACACACTGTTACTGCCACACAGGTGCAATGGAGTCATTCCTTTCCACAGGCAATATCCACTAATGGGGACTGGAGGAGGAAATTTCTCTTCTAATGTTTAGTCTTTCCAGACTTTCCAGTTCACATACGGTTGCGAGAGGGAAGTATATTTCAAAATCTTGTCTGACATTACCGTTTGTCTGATTTTCCACCCAGGAATTAATGAGCTGTCTGGCTTGATCTGATGCTGTTTTGAAGTTGACCATTTCCAGACCGGCTCTGTACAGTTTCTTCACACATTTTAAGTAGATCTGTAAAGACAGCAATTGTAGCCACCAAACTAGTAATTTTTTAAAAACAGTATGAAGATGAAATAAAATATGACTAAAAGGATTTTTATAGTGATGCCACAGTTAAACTGTTCTCATTGCTTACTTCCTGGAAGAATCTGCTAAAACTGGGCCAGAAAAATTATTCTGATCCATGACATTTTCAGATCTGACATTTTTATTACTTGACCAGTTAAGAGTATGTATTAGAAATGTTTAAATATTTTCTTGAAGAAAGCCTGATCCAAAAACACTGTTTCAGGTTCATTTTGGAGTGTTTTATTATCATTATGTCCACTCCTTTTTTTTAAAAGCATTTTTTCTTTAAAGATAAGTTTCTTTGATTTAGAATATTTGTATGTTTTGTTTTGAAAATGTCAAATGAAAGATTTTGACACTTTCAAAAGTTGTTTTTGAGGTGAGATTTTCAATTGAAGAAACGTGCTCAAGTCAAATTATTTCCTGAAAGAAACCGAACAACCTATTAAAATGAAAGGGCTTTGGGGGAGCAAGCGGTAAGGGGGTAGTTACATTACCAAATAGTTTTGTTTATTATTCCATTCATTTTTTAATAGGGCCATCTTTTTGCCTGGAACTGCTTTCCATTCAGGCTATTGTCAGGGCTGTGGCAAAGGGAAAAGCTGTGGAAGTCCACACCAGTGGGGACCACTGGATCAACAGATCACATACTCTGGCCAGTCCTCCTGGACTACAGGTTTATACAGGGTTTAGCAAGAAATCACTGTAATGTACAACTCACCGGTAGGACTGGACATGTCTTTTCAGCATAGAGTCTGTTGGCAATGTGGAGTGAATAATTGGCTTTTGGTGCAGTGATATCAGAGAGAAGTTCTTTAAACAGTATGTGGATATTCATAGACTTGCCACACTGAGTTGTTGATAAGAAGATAAAAAAGTATACTGTTAGCTTATTTTACTAGGAAGAGAATTATTTATAGGGTACAAATAACATGGGAAAATGCACAGTGTTTGGACATTTGCAAATGAACATGTACTACAGTCTAAAAGTTCCATGGGAGGGATGTTCAATATAAGCAACTAATGATGTACAATTAATTCATAGCATATGATGACACTCATTCTAGGTGGTAACAAGCAGAAAACCTTAGTGATGAATCCGAAACCGTATGGGTCAGGAGTGAGGTGACAGAACGAAAAATTCAGGTGTCAATGATTGCAATTAGCAAGTTGTCATAGATATAGAGCCTCTGGTTCCCAGCTTCTGCTTGCATTTTCATGGCAGCTTTCTGCTGAAGCTGCAGATGGGAGAAGAGTGCTAGATGACAAGGGAGTCAGGAAGCGATTCATAATACGGTAAAAAAATGGATCAACTGTCTAATGCCCCAAGAATAACGTGCCAGGTGACACAGGCTGAAAGCGTGTAAGAAAAATGCACAATGATAAACAGTGACTAGGACTTCATTTTATGAGAAAGAGAAATGTGTTGAACTGCTCCTTTCTAAATGCTTAACCAGCCACTAAATGCTCTAGCTGATATTACCTTTATTTTTCTTTATAAAAAAAAAAAGTCTTCTTGTTCTTTGCAAGTCCCACCTTGTGCTTGTGGATCCCAAGTGGATGGGGACAGGCCAGGGAGCATGGCTTGTGTTCTCTTTACAGAGGCAGCAGATTAACACGGAGGAAAGCACACAGGTGGTATCAAGGTACTGGGACCCCTCATGGTGCTCTTGGAGTAGCAGTGGGAATTGGAGGCTGGAAAAGTCCCTGTAGCTTTTGGAATAGTGTGGTTACTTTCCATCCTTTGAGGCTTCTGGGCTCTTTTCTGACTGAGCATCTTTCTACCCCAGTTTGGAGCCTCAGCTGCACGTCCGACTGCTGTACCCTGGCTCCAGGTGCTGTCCCCCAGCAGTACTTGCAGGTGTGCAGATGCTCATCTACACAAGAAGGTAGCCTGGTGCCCAAAGCATCCTACCCTGTCCTGTCACCTGTTCTGGTGCAACATGTGTAGCCTGTTATTTTTAACTTAACATCTCTTAAATTAAGAGCATTAGCAAAGGTTTGGGAAGGTGTTGAACCTACTTGAAGCACAGTCAGAACAGTCTATTCTCAGGAGAAAAATGTGAAAGAGAAATAAATGTACCTTAGATTTCTGTACCTTGGTCTGAATAGTTCCTCCAAGTCCTGCAATTTTGTCAAAGTGAAGAACCTGCAATTGAAAGTAACAACAGAAGAAATTAAATACGTGAAGTCCACTGAGAGTCACTGATGTTTGTATTGAAACTATAGGTTTGGACTAACCAGGTCTGATTAGCACATAGATGAACTGAGAAGTTTCATGTGGGCTTTAAATCAGGTTTTTTACTGCATGTGTCACACTGAAAATTTGTGACAAAGATCCTCAGCTTAGATCTCTTCTTTTCCAGTTAATGGTATTCAGTCTCTAAACTAGCTACAACCTTACTGCATTGTATTTATAATTGTCACTCTTGTTTTCTGAATGTTTCATCTTTTGTATATTACAAGTTGTCCTTTCCACCTGGAAGGAATCAGGTCTGTGAGATAATATAAGCTGAAGCAAAAGACCTGCCTTAACCACTCTTCAAGACTGTTCTTTCTCAATGGAAACCAAAGGCCGTTCTTGCCCTTCATGGCGAAAAGCAATGGGAAGTGAAAATTCAGCTCCAGATCCAAACCTCATGGTTTGGAATGCCATTCTTCTTCTAGGCAGATTTGAATCCAATGCCAAATGTGACTATGTGACATTCTCCCCTCAACTGGAGAAAGTCCCAAAGATGTAAATAGATAATCTGTTGCTGTGTTGAACGGGATCAAAAGGAGTTTGTATCCATTTAGGTAACTTACCTTCTCCATCTGATACTCAGTGTTACCTCTTGCTCCCAGATAAACCATGGCCAAGGCTGCAATGATGCTCAGGGGTGAATAGAAGATGTTGTCGTTGGCATGGTGGACTTTCAGCTCTTTGAATACATCAAAAGAAAATTCTGCATTTGCTGCACTGATGGAGCCCATTGTGAAATCAGTGTTGTCTGAAGCAAACAGAAATGACTGTATAGTGGTGATATGTAGCGCTTGTTTTAAAAAGTACTGTCAATAGCCCAGAAACTGCTAGTTCATTGCTGGTTTTGTGATGCTGAACTAATGAATGATGTGAAGCCCACAAACTCCTTAAACATTAGAATTATTGTAACTCCTGACCCATTTATCTCTGAACACATGTTTGTTTTCTTTCAGCAAGATACTAGCTCATCATCAAGATAGTATCTTGTACTTGCCGTTTAGGAAATAGATAGTTTCATCCATGCTTCAGTATGATAAATATAACACTGAATGGATGAGTTTCCCTATGGCCATCCAGAGGACTCTGAATGATGTTTGAGACAACGCAAACTTCATATTTCGTTTCTTCTGTGGCTGCTCTGGACCTTGCTCTGCTCCATGCTCTGGATCTTTAAATCAAATGCAGTCAACTCACTATATGCCTAGTGTACTTCTTACTGTTGCTTAGTACAACCAGCCATTAATTTGGAGATTGCTTTCCTATAGTTTATAGGAATAATGGGAGTAAGTTGCTTAGAACCCAGCTGGTTGCTTATATGCTGAACTATAGATTTAGGGGGCTTCTTTCCTGTGGTCCCATTTCAGGCATTTAATCTCTGCTGATGCTTTTTTGTTGAGAAAAAGCACAAGCATATATATCATAAATACGGGATTTGGCAGTACAGCTTGAAACAGCATAGTGCTGCATTCATTCAGACAGGTGCAAGTCCTGTACATGCAAATGAATGTGACATGTTAAGGATATTAATTGAAACCTGCAGTCATTTTCTCTTTTGAATCTGAGACCAAGAAAGTTCCATACTGTTCTTATATCTTTAAAACAGTTAAAGTTAGAGGAATAGCAGCATATAGTTTGGAGCAGATGTGGTTCATTATGTGACCTGAGATACATCTGGTGCTAATGACTGTGGAACCAAAGACACTGTACCTCACCTGTGTTCTCCAGAGAGTGAGACTGAGAAAAGAGAAATGCCTTTATTCCCAAAATAATTATTAAAATTATAAAAGAACAGTTTTAATGTGACACCAGGTTTTCAACGAAAAAGAGGTATTTCTACTCAAAGCTATGGTGTACACTCATATTTTGCACACATAAAAGTATTTGACAGTCAAACAGTATAAGATATATTGATAAGGAAGGTAAAATTACCGTATATGCTGTCTTTTTACATATCTGTCTTATACTTACCTTAAAGTTCTTAAACATAACATAACTTTTTTTTCCATATTAAACAATACAAATTAGAAATTATATTTTACTTGGAGAAATACTTACCCCACAAGCTTCAAAGAGGCACGTAATAATCCAGCTTGCCAGCTGAACCTAAACAAATTCTGTGAGCTCTTGGTGATATATACTGTACCATTTGAGACACTCCCACTGTTAGCCTTCAAGGAGTCATCTTTTGAGTCACTACCTTTTGTCATGACCCAATGTTAGACTGGTACTCTATCTATCTGCAGCAAGTCAACCTTTATTTATTGAAGTAAAACCTAACAAAAAAAAAAGAATTATTTAAGCTTTTGATGTAACTTATAAGACTGTCCAAAGCAATTGGAGTTCAAGTCTAAAACTATGTTTCATGCAGTTCTTTAGAATTTACACATTAATGTGATTGGGCCATATTAGGTAACTAGAGCCAAATGAAAAACAAATGCAAAAAAAATGAGGAGAAACAGTGCTACAAATATATCCAGCGAAACATAATACATTTCTAATAAACCTAGCTGTGACATCGGATCAGGTGATTCTCACAGTCAAGTGAAACTAAAGCTCCCAAAATATTACAGGAAAATAAGACCTAGTCATAGTGCAGTGATCTGGGAGTGGGCAAACTGTTCCCACCACAGTCCATCATTAGTAAGCATCCACGGATACAGCTGAGGAAAGAGTCTTGTATTATCAGGGAGTGCAAAAAAATGCATCAGCCCCTGAAAACCTAGCTGATTCTCCTCTTCTCACCTATGAGGCACTGCAAGTACAGAAAGCATTGTAACACCGTCCCCCCACCAAGCGGGAAGGGAAGGGAAAAGTGGATACTGCGCTAACTGCTGAAGGTCTCATATATATGCAACAACTCACTACAGCATCTGTGCAGTGGAGCAGAGGGAAGTTCCTCATGGACAGTGACCATCTGATGTTGCCAAAATAAAGCAATTCCAAGCAGAGCTGGCTGCGGGATGGTCATTCTATTTAGAGGGTTTAAAATGGATTTTTTCCATGTAAGAACAAACCCAAAACTTTGTTTATTTTTCAAGATCAAAATAGTACTGAAAGGTGTTTTGGTCTGCCAAAATGCAGAAGTATGTTCCTGGAGTCCAAGGACTGGTGTGGCTTATAGCTTGTACTTGTTAAAAGCACAGCCACATCTCTTCCTGTACATAGATGAGACCAAAGTTTTTTACCTGAGGTCAAACTATAGTGTCTACAGCATACATGTGGAGGAGGGGAGAAGGGCTCTGAGGAGAAAGCACATTTTGCTAAAACTTCATTTTGATGAAAACATTCAGAGCAGCAGCGTTGAGATAAATTAGAGGTCTGAGGGTAGGCATGGCAGAGGAAGAGATTTGAGGAACAGTCAGGACTTACATATTTTCTGGGCTGTAAGTCAGACCCCAGAGTATTCAGATATTCAGAAATGGATTTTAACCAGCCAGTAGGATTTAAAGGATGATTGAGGGTCAGCTTTTAATTTTCATTCTCCGCAGGTCATGGCAACAAGGCTCATGGTACATGCACAGGCCATACTCATAGATCTTCCATACCTACCTTTTTACTATGGCAGGTGAATAAACTACAGAATCTGTCCGCAGGAACATTCATGGTCTGTTAGACAATCATAATGCACAATATCAAATACAATTCAATTGTAAAAAGCTATTACTCTTTATTGAATAATAGACTTGATGAGCAGTAAAGAAACAAATCTGGCATCCGTAAAGACCATAGGGGTGGATAATAGAATTTGTACATAATAAGTCACAGATCATACAGCAGTAGGTGCACCCTCTGTGAAAGGGAAAGGGAGCTACTTTACTCTTAACAGTGAGTTTTGTTTTGCTGAAATGCAGGCATGTGCGTGCAGAGCCTGATAATTGGGGTGGCTTTCAGTTTCCCAACTCAGAATAAGCTTTTCATCTGAGGATGTTATAGCAGTGATGAGGATGGGAAAATCTGAAGACAGTAAGCAGCTTTCCTTTCACCTTGTTCAATGTTCCTTATTTGGTGAGCTGGGCTGCTGTAGCTTTTACTTTATCCTATCAAACCATTACTGCCCAAGGGCACAGGTTTTGTGTGGAAAGAGTTGTAGTGTGTCTCCTCTTATTCTCCCATTTTCACATATTCACATTAGAGTTCCAGCTACTGATCAGCAGTTGCGCAAACATGCCTTTTGGGGCTTCCATGAAGAGCTTTCCTGGGCACCCACACTCCTTTGTATGCTCTGGTTCAAGGTGTTCGTCCTGTGTGGACATCTGTGGAGCATGCACCTGAAGGACACAACCAGCCCTGGACATATGGCCAACTCTTTGCCTAATGTCCACGATTTTCTCAACAAACATTTTGTTGCACCAACTCCTCTAGAAGAGGGCATGTAGGTGTTTCTGGTATGTGCTCCCAGCCAATATATTTGCCTTTGTTGTACACTCTACATCTCATATCTCTGCAGCAGCACAATTACAACAGTTCTCCATACAGGTAAGCTGGTTGAACGTCTGATAACTGCTCAGTTTCTGCTAGCTACCCTAATGTGAAAAACTACTTTGTCAAGGCAGGCAAGATAGTTTAAAACATCCAAAGTAAATGAGCTCATGCAAGAGAGGAAGTTTGGTTCCGCCAGTAGTCAGGGATGGGGCAGTACAACTTCTCCAGAGAGTAGTCCATCACTACACACCCTTGGGTTTGTTTTGTATTTTTTTCTACACTGAACGTTAGTGCAAAAGTGGTTGCAGAAGCTGCCTGTGAGTAGCTGAAAATTTTGATGAGAACAGGCTATCCATGTGCAGTTATCAGCAAAGTGCTCTTTTGTAACTTTAAATAGGGCATTGGACCTGGGGAAATCAGATGCTTCTCCTGAAATTCAAAAGCTGAGAGTGTAGCACTGTAAAACAGGTTAAATTCTGCTTCCTATCCATGTTTGTCCCAGGAAAGAAGTCAGCAAGTACTCTGCTGCCCTTTATCTGCCAGGGAGTCCATTGTGGAGCTGTTTCTAAACCAATTCATGGGGTTTGCCATTCTTCCCCAGTGTTGGCATAATAAAGGAGATATTAAGCAGCAAAAAAAAAGCAGCTTTTCCCAACATTTCTCTGTTCAGATTTTGACATTTCATTTCTTATTGTTGCTCAGCTACTGTTTTGCGGTGTTTTGGGGGTAATGTTTGCTTATGCTTTGCATGGCCTGTCTATCTGCATCATGCTTACTGGCATCTCTCAGTGAACTGAGATGCGGCCAGAGAAGTCCCATTTACAGGATTTCAGATGCTTTTTATTCAGTCATGGTATTTGCTCTGCTGGATGAAATCAGCTCTGTGTGGTATGCGCACTGTCTAAGGCAGACTGTCGTTGGTATTAGTGCTAGCACTTTTAAGACAACCAGCACCTTGTATTAAACCTCTCAGAGAGTCAGTGTGTCAGGTCCGGGGTAAAGTTAATGCCTAACATGTCCTTTCTCCTTCAGAGCTCATAGTATGTCAATGTGTATTGTGTTTGCACAGCAACCCAAGGTAAAAGGAGGCCAAGCACCTCCACCAGTCCTCTATGCCCCTTGATTGCTGGTTGGCTCTAGCAATAATTCAATTTGTTATAATAAAGCAGCAGTAAAATGGTGACTTTTTTCCTGCTGTTCACGCTTGCTGAAAGAAAGAGGCTTGCCCAATTACCACCCCTCAGGTAGCTGGATCTTACTCACTGCAACTGGGTCATGCTTGTGGTGCTCTCTGGCAAGCGATGCTTCCCTGGTGCACAC